GCTTCTCAATTAGCTTTTCCAGATTTTTTATAGGTATTGATATCAAGCTAGATTCCTGGATTCACTCCCCCGCCCCCTTTCTTGAAGCTTGGAATCACATCAGCTCTTTCCCAGTCCTCTGGCAGTTCCCCAGTGCTCCAGGAGTCTGAAAGATTTTGTTCAGTGGTTCTGAAATCACATCTGCCAGCTCCTTCAGAACCATGGGATGTAAACCATCTGGTCCTGGCAATTTGAAATTGTCTAAAGCGGATAGGTGTTCTTTCATCAATTTCTTATCTATTTGGATCTCCATTGCTGTTCTGTCTCCCACTGTGCTGCTTTTGAGAGGTTAGGCTTTTTGGTGTTCTCTTTTGCATAAGGACAGATGGAAATAAGAAATAAAGCAGCTCCTCTTTCTCCATCTTTCCTCTGCCATCTTCTTGTCACTTTCTCCCATTAGTAAACAGAACATTTCCTTGACTTTTTACTTGTTTTTTTAAAAATATTGAAAGATTTTTTTCCCCTTTCCTTTTGCAGTTGGATTATTTTATATCCTAAAACTGCAGCTACCTAGTATGATGACTTGTGGGAAATATATATCCGATGGAAAGTTAAGCTCTATTGAGACATTTCTTTCAACTTAAATATATATTTGAAAGTCTATTTGGAAGTATGATGCTTTGTTTGATTACTTTTCAGTAAATAGAAGTTATGGAATAATGTGTAGCATTCATATTTATTGTATTAAATGTAGGTGTCAGCATGAAAGTAGACGCAGTTATATGTTACTGTTCAAAATTCATCCACAAACAAACAATCTAAAATTATACTGAATAGTGATTTTTTTAAATCCAATTACTGAAGAGTGAGTTCACCATATGTTCTTGGATTCTGACATAGCAATTGTTATTATGCTGACGTAAGAACATATCCATGCATCATTTTATTTTCTAAATTTCCTGGCATGTTCTTAAGATTGTCCTGCATTTCTTTCTCTTTGCAATTGCAATGATATGGAAAATAATGGCTGTGCAAAACAATTAGGGATGGTTGCAATTAGTTGATTTGTTTCAGATTTAACTTCTACTTAATAAATTGGATAAATTGGACATTACTTCACCAAAACACTTTGATTTTTCTTCTAAAGATTCATGGGAATTCTGTGTGTGGTCTTATATAAGCCTGTGTTTGTACATTGTGTTTAATGTTCTGCATGATAAAAATAGAGTCTTAATATCTGAACATTTGCTTCAAAACAAAATTTTTATGTTTAGTTTTAGATTGCTGCATTTTCGGTATGTACTCCCTGAGCAATACAAAAAATTGTGTATACTTTTTAACATTTAAAAGTACAATGGTTTATGTGGTTGTTACAAAAGCTGCAGGTTTTTCTAGATTTCTTTATTGTGAAAGAAATTACAAGAAACAGATTGGTGGTAGTGAGGCACTTGTCTGCATAGACAGTTCTAAAATAAACAATGGGAGAAGACAGTCAACTAGGCTCTGTTTGATGCTATGAAGGATTAAGATTGTAGCAATGACTGCTTTGAGGATTGCTGGGCAATCGTAGCCTCATCCTGAAGCCATCAAACATTCATGTAGATGGTAATCTGAACATCTTCAATCAAAGCAATTTGAATCTTCAGTAAACGTATCATTAGTTCCCCTTCATTTCTCTTGCTTTGCCATTGTCTTGATTTTTGTACTAATGCATAACTGAGCAGCCACAGTCATTTATTTATTTGATTTATATAGCCATCTACCTTACTTAAGTAGCTCTGGGTGACTCACAAGATTAAAAGATACAAATCCACCAAACTTAATCGCCTGGCAATCAAAGATAAATAATCTCATTTCCCATCAGTAATAGCAGTTTTTTTCTAGCCATCTGACCCAAATGCCTAGTGAAACAGCCAAGTCTTTAATGCCTTGCAAAAGACTAAAAGAGGTGGGGACATCAAAATCTTTTTTCAAAATCCATCAAAATCTAACACCTTGCCATAACTTCTATCCAGCCAAGCCACAGTTGAGAATAAGATCTGACAATCATGATTTTGGTAGTTTGAACATGTCTGCAAGATAAGATATAGCACTCTTGCCCAAGTGATTGCTGGAAAGGAAATATTCACCTGGTTGGGGGGGGAAATGCCCTTCAAAAAAATCCGGATCAGCAGATATAAAAGTGGAAGCCTAGCGATTGTATTCTAGTGTCGCAGAAATTATGGCACCTGCTTAGCCCAGAGAACATTGAAAGGGTAGCTGCAGGGTTTTAGCCATGGTGGTGATATCTTGCAGTTTACAAGACTATCCATATGAATTAATCTTTATGTAAGAGAGCTATCTGTTGATCTTAAAGTCACACAATTTATCTCTTTTTAAAATTAATCTATGCCATGGTTGTTTCTAGTTGGATCCAAGATTGATCTTTGATGCCTTTTAGTGCTTTGATTAATGACTTAATTTTTTTACTAATATAGAGAAGAGGAAAATTAGTTACCACCCTTTGTCATATCTGTGGCACATGTGGTATTTCCTGATAATATTAAAGATACTATCAGCCACTTTGGCAGATTTGGGTCAATATGTCACTTGTGCAAGCAAAGCTCACAATATTTTATGCCTCAAAAGTTGTCTAATCTAAAGCTTCCTCCCAATTCAATATATTGTTTCTTGTATGACATCAGCTAGGGAAATGTGTAATATACACAGTATGCATTAAAGATGTCTATAAATAATAAAAAGCAATGTGTTGAGTATGGACATAGTAGAAGTATAGAAATGTATGAGTTTTTGATGTAAATGTTTACCAAATATAAGTTGATGTGATAAAGGTGTTGTTATAATATGGATTGGGGAATAGTTCTAATAGCTAATACAGGTATCATTGTCTTTTGTGTTTAAGTATTTAGCTTCTGTTCCATAATAGCTTCAAAGTCAGCAAAAAAAAAAACATTTTAAAAATTACATTGAAACAAATTTATATGAATAAAGTTGCAATTTGGCATGTATTGTCTGTTGTGTTTCTTGTTGACCAGGGGGATAGCTGATTTGGCATGGAATTCTTTTTGTTTTGTTTTCTTGCCATATTAAATAGGTTGGTGGTTAATGGTAAAACGTATGGATTATACATTTTGCATCGATATTTCATTGGAAGATAACAGGATTATTGTGATTTTAATCAGTGAGTTGATGTGTAGGAATTAATTATGTATCCTTGTGCTTTAAAAAAATAATCTGAATTTAAAAAGTTTGCTTTGTTTATGAAAAAATATGAACTGCTAATAAAATAGAAGTAATTTTTTCATGTAAGATAAATGTTTTCAATTAATTTAACAGTACTTTCTGTACATTGCTTAAACATTGAATCTTATTTTATTAAATACTACATAGAAACTATAGTTGTATGTACAATATCTTTCCCTCAAGGCTTTGTGGAGAAATAATTATTTTTAATGATTCAGAAAAGTTGAAGAGGTCATTATTTAGGACTGTATCTTTTAATATTATCACCAGATGGGAAGCAATTACAACTGTTGAAAGGGAAAAATTAGCACAGAGGTGAGACATTTGATAACATTTATTGAAGAATAAAAGTAACCATTTCATTGTTTTTAGTGTCTCTTCACATCTGTCAATGAATTTGAATCCATGGATCTTACAAGTTACATTTAATTAATAAAAACGTTCCTTTGTTGTTGAATTCAGCTGAGTATATAAAACACCACTTTAAAAATATATGAATAAGGTTTTCTAGTGTGCTTGATGATCAAAAAATATCCACAAGTGTTAAGAGTATGAAAGTCTTTTGCATTTTAGAGAAATGCTCAACTACAAAATCTAATTTCAGCTATAATGACCACAGTGTGCAAAATCATTTATTTAGAATAACAATAATAAATGGTTGTGGTTAAATGTTTCTAGCTCTTGGTTGGTGACAAGCTTTGAGATGTCTCCTTATTGTATTGTTATTTTAAATGGCTCTATGGAAGATGTCTAAGCTGTCATCAAGCAGCAAAGAACAATAAATACTTATCAGTTCTTTATGTGGATTTTTTTCCATTGGATGTTATGACTTTTCTTTTTCAATACTTCCACATAAGGTGATAGGGTGGTTATTGTTACTATTATTATTACTACATGTATGTATGTCTGTATGTAAATTTATATTTATATTTAATATAAATATAATATATTATATTTAACATAACTGCTATATAGAGTTTCCTAGAGCTTTAGGAATTACATTAATGTTATTGACATACATTAATGACATACAATGTTACTCAACATGAAGGTGTTTTTTTGGTATATATTCAAGAATATTTTTTAAAGTGGAAAATATTTCTGTTTTTCCCCCAGAATGTAATGAACAAGCTGTTCAGGGGAATAGGCCAGCTAGTTTTATAAATATAATATTTATAGGTAGAATTTTGTATATTTGAACATGGTCCAGTTACAAATTGTCCTTTTTTATATTGGGAATTTTTATTTTTACATTCTTAGAGAGCCAAGTTATAAGATTTAGCAAATGTCATTTTAAGTTGGATGTGTGCATAGTGTCAGATTCTTTTTATGTTTGCCATTTCCCTGTAGCATAATAGATGCATTTTAGAGATACGTTCCAGGCATGTCAATGCATGAGAGTGCAAAGTATTTTGTTCATTGCAAATAATGAAGAATAAACAATATTTATTCTTTTAGCCTTTAATTAGTGCAGCTTAATGGGACTTAGGAGACGCATATTAGACTTTTGGTTGCTTATCAATAATTGTAACTAATTTAATTGCTTGCTTTTTTGACCTTGCTGTACCTTGCCAAGAATCTTTTTAGTTTGGAACAGGCTATAAATATTGTAAATGAACAAATAATAGTGTCTTAAATAAACATAATTGCATGAAACTGAAAAATTGCTTTGCTGCTCTCCATGTATTCAAATAAATTTGTTTTCGTTATATGTAAACCTTAAGTTTGTATGTATCTGTCTGTAAGCATAGGTCTTAATATGTTGTGCTGGCTTCTAGGCTTTAACAGCTGACTTGGAAAAGAGGGACAACCAGCAGCAAAGGATGATGAGCCAACTGAAAGAGATACAGAGCAACTATAAAATCTGCGAAAATGAGTGCAGAGCTGCAGAATTACAGGTTACAGAGCTAGGTCAGCAACTAGAAGAATCGATCAAGGAAGCAGAGAAGTACCTAGCTGAATTCAAACAATCTGAAGTACTAAGGCTAGAGACTGAGAAGAAAAAGGAAGAGTTAAAACTCAAAGCTCAGGAATCAATTCGATGCTGGAAGCTAAGGTGTAAAAAACTAGAACATGAAAAAGGAAAACAAAGTGAACTTCATAGCCAGTTGATGGAGAAGAACAAATTGGTATGGTATACATTTTTTATTTCCTTTAATCAATAACTTTGCAATATGTAAATATTTGTTGTTCTTCCGATACAGTTTAAAAAACAGTGCTTCCTAAACCTAGATAAATTACCCAAATTGAGCAAAACTGATTTTTCTTTGGGTAATGTTACACAAACCCTATCAAACAGTGGCACTTAAATAAGGTCTCTCTGATAAACTGTAAAAAGGATTTTCTGATAAGCAGTTTTGGGTAATGAAGGAAAAAGTTTGGAAAGGACTGGTTTAAAACTATTGAAATTAATTCTTGTAATTGTTTTGAACTATTATTAAAACACATTATACTAGTAGTGAATGGGGAGGCCTGGTGAGATATGGCTTTCAGTAGGAAACACTGAAATAACAAAAAAGTATAATTTAATCAAAAGACAAGGTAATTTTTTAACATTTAAAACTGATCACAGATGGTAATTGGGTGAAATCCAAATTAGTCCAACTTAGATTATATTTACGTAAATCACTAAAATCAATTAGCCATGGCTAATTTATCTCGAGTTAATATCAGTGGGCTTGTGCTCATTAGACTCACATGTTTTCTCCCTAATGCTATACTAGATCAGTTTTTGATTAGCACAACTATTCTCACACTTCTCCTGTAAGAAATATTATAAATTAAGAAGGGAATGATCTAGAATTGTTTCCCTCCACCTTGCCTCATCAAAATTGGCAACTCTGTAATGTACTTAAAAACTATTACCAAAGAATTTTAAAAAAATAATTTCTAGGATTGAAGACTTAAAACAGAAGAAGATTATCGAGTATAATTTTTAGAAAGCTGTCCAGTTTTGATCAACTGATAAAATAAAACACATTCTAAGCACTTTGTTGTTAGGGATAACTGTATTCTGTCTGGGATACTGTCTTCATTCTTCTGCTGTTTTATGCTGCAAAGATACAAGGCATCTTTTCGTGTTAAGTTACTCTTTGTTGGGAATACAACTTTGTGACTTTTCAGTCAACATTAATGGCTGAGCTTTTATTTATTTAAAGAACTTAGGTGGCTTCCTTTCTTATACAGTGATCCTAGGCAGATACAGTAACCAATAAAAACCTACACCATAAAAACACATTGTACCCTTCTCACCAAGGCATCAGAACTACACATACTATTGATTCATTGACTCAACCCCCTTCCTACACAAATACGTAGGGAAAGAGCCAGGTCTTCATGGTCTTTTGGAAGGCTAAAAGTGTAGTCCCCCCCCCTTCAAAATCTCAGTTGGAAGCTATTTTAAAGGGCCTGGGCTTCAGGAATTGTAGAGAAAATACATCTGTGAAAGTAGAATATTGATGAAGGTTGAAATTTGGAGTGGCACATAAGTCCTACTTAATAAATAAATAAAGGATGCAAAACAAATGTAAACAATTTGTTTTTCTCTACCCTGTGGCTGATTACAGATAAGGATTGCACATGCCTACTTGGATTTCTTTTATAGCTTTTCCAGCAGGTTTTTCCCTGAGCTTTATAAAGCTAAGCCTCTTCTTTCCAGTAGTAAAAAAACAGATACCTCCAAGTAGCTTACAATCCTCTTGATGGATTTGCTTTTGGAGGTGCAAAATATGTTTTGTCAGATTGGGAGTCAGACAGCCCTGATAGCCAGATTGACTCTGAACTGGTAGTTTATATGCAGGTTTGACTAGTTGATAGTCTCAATAGATTTTCATTTGCATTCTCTCTAGAAATAGCAGTTCAGTTTCCCAAATAGGAAAATAGGTCACCACTGATTCTAAAAGGATACCCCAGTGTGAAGTTTGAGACTCTTTGGGAAGTCTTTGTCTTGTTTCACTCTGTATTTGCCCAGAAGGAAGGAACTAACAGTTATGCTCAGTAATGCAATATAATTTTCAATTTTGGTGATCAGTTGAAAAATTAACATTTAAAATACCAATTCATATTGAAATTAAATGCTCATGAATAATATCCAGAAACAGAAAAAAAAATCCCTTAAATACTTAAAAAAGAAGTATATTTTGATGTGATAATAAATATGGGAGAAAAATGACTGGTGTGAAAATAGTAAATTAGACCTTCTACCCTAGAGGTAAAACCATGCAAAGAGGACAGTTTTGGCAGATAGCCATCAGCAACCTGAAAGCAATAATTAAGCTTATGATTGCAGTTTCAAAATAATCAGCCAACATAGGAAACACAGATTTAATACTGAAAAGCTTTTTTTAAAAATGTTGTGAGAAGGCTTCAATGTGATATACACCACATTGACAAGTTGGTGGATTTTCTTGCTTGGTTTATAATTAATCATTCATTTTCTTTACATTCTGTCAATGCAAATTATACTTAGCAGATTTTAAAAGTTTTCCCGTCTTAGATAAAATGCAGCTCAACCCTTTAGTTCGCAATAGGTCAGGATTCTTAAAATCTTCAAAAGGGCACAATAAAAATGAATATTGGCAAGATGTTTTGGGGGGAGGAAGAGAAGGTTAACACAAGGTTCTAAGGACCCAAGATTTTGCTGAATGGCCTAATAGTAGGCGACTGCTTAGAGGGAAAAGAGGATAATTTGAATTTAGTCTAAATGTAAATAGCAATGTTTAATACAGGTTGTGTGGAGTGTTCGACAACTTAGGATAGGAGATAATATACATACATGCATGCATGCATGCATGCATACATACATACATACATACATAAATGTACAGACATATTTTGTATTTTGTCTTTGATGATTTTTATATGATTACTTAATATAGTTGAGAGGGCTCAGTAATTCCATTCTCTTAAGATCAATGCTGGTGGTAGAAGTATATTTCTTGGCAAATAAACCAAGAATAATCCAGAAAGGGGATAAAAACAGTTAGGGCTGGGCAGGTGTGAAAAATGCCAAACCATTCAAATCTGAAAGGGCTTTGACTGGGTAGATAATGCCTGAATGTAGACCATATTAAGACTTATGAACATGCCAGAGCCTCTAATTACTCTTTTGAGGAGCTTGTACAATGAGCAAGAAGTTATTGTAAGAACTAACTTTGAAGAGACTGGTTCAAGAGAAAGAGGAGAGACAAGAATGTTAAATCTATTATGTAATTAAGTTAAATATTGGAAGAGTAGTCTATTGGAAGAAAAAAACAGCAGGCATCTAATCACTTGAAATAATGCAGATAATTCCAACTTGTTAAATGAAAATGAAGAGTTAATTAGTAAGAGAAAATGAGCTGCTTTTATGCTATGATTTTTTTTTATTTTACACTTCCTAGAATCACTAAAGTGAAATGGATGGTATGTGATAGATAAGTAAATGACAGAAAGTGAAAAATATGAATTAATGTTGAATATTAAAATGACAAAGTTAAACTCAACCAGCTGCTTAGTGAACTCACAGTTGCCTTTGAAGAAGTAAAGACTATAAATAGTTTACAGTTTACAGTTTATAAGTTTTTTCAACTCAAGCATAAAGATGGATAGATTGTTGAGGAAGTAAATTAATTTTAGGGAGAAAGATAGTGATAAACTATATCATGAAGTATAGGCTATTTCTATGGCAACAAAGATCAGGATAGTTAAATCAATCATTTTCTCCAGTGAAATTGTGAAAGCTGGATATTGAGTAAGAACAAAGGAAAAAAGATAGATGTCATTAAATTATGGATTTGGAGACAGCTTCTCAGAAAACAATGAACTGCAAAGAGAACTAGTCAGTCCATCATGGAAAAAATAAAAGTAAACTATTGTTTAGCGTTAAGGAGCATCAAGCATAAATTCATATATTTTAACTATGTGATACTAGAGAGAAACTTGAAAAACTTTCTGTGCTTGGCAGAGTTGAGGCAAATTAAAAACGGGGAAAGGCAGTGGAAGGATCCAAAATCAGGGAAATTACTTGAATGAACAGCTCCAATTATTTCTAGGGAGACATTAAGTTGAATGGCTTTTACCTGTACAGTTATCAGGATTTGAGTTTAACTCAATGGCCTGCATGTTTGGTTATTTTTAACAGCAAATAAAAAATAAAAAAAAATTGCAAGGGAGATACATATTTACTTTAAAAAACAAATATTGAATCTGGTTAATCCTTCTAATAACAAGGGGTGTTCATCTCGATTTCATTGCGGGCTGCAAACACACAGGGTTGTGTTTGCCTGTGGGGGGGCCATGGCAGGCTGAGCATAGACAGCTTGATGTAACTTGTGTCGGGGCCATCTCTGATGGCCCGGGTAGGGCTGAGGGCATCCACTGTCTCCAGGAGAGGAAGGCGAGAACAGGGAGATGGTCAAACCCTTGTCCTCCAGAGGAGCCTCACCATCCCTGTCAGGTCACACAGAGGACCCCACAGCCCAGCCCAGCCCCACTCCCCGAGGGGGTGCCCAGCTGAGCTTACCTCTTCCCCAAGACTGCTGCTGCTGTGCTCGTTCTCTTTGGCAAAGTTGCTCTTGGTATGTGCAGGAAGGAAAAGTGTCTGTGTAAGAGGGAGGCCAACTCCCTCTCCATGCAAGAAGACCCAGTTTGTAACCAAAGCATCCTCAGCGATAGAATGGGAGACTACCAGAAGAGGTCAGGAGAAGGCACAAAGGGTTGGCGAAAGAGCAGCAAGGCTGCTGATGGCCAAGTGCTAAGATAGGACTTCCCTCAGACCCTCCCACCCTCTCATTATAATCTTCCTTCCTTTTTCTCTTCTCTTCTTTTTCCTTCCTCTTCATTTTCCTTTCTTTCTTCTTCTTTCCCCTCTTTCTTTTCTGTTCTTGCTTCTTCCCATCATCCTATCTTTTTCTTTTTCTTTTTCTTTCCTCTTTTCCTTTCTCCTTTCTCCTTTCCTGTACCTTCTTGGACGCTCAAATGCAAAAGGGGATCAAATTTGTGATCAAATGCCACTTTTGCTAGTAGTTTGTTTGCTAGCACTCTGCCAACAAAAACAGAGCTTGGGAGAGCTGTGGGTGCCCCTCCTGAATTCCATTTTCAGCTGCAACAGCCTGCTCCAGCACTCTGCCAACACTGCCAACAAAAACAGAGCTTGAGAGGGATACCCTTGGCCCTCCCAAGCTCTGTTTTCAGCTGCAACGTCCTCCTACAGCACTCTGCCAGTGAAAATGACTGCCACCAGGTTGTAGATCAGCACCCGGTCGGCCTAGGTCGGGCTAAGGAATGTGGGCTGGACTTTTTCTGTTTCCAGATCTAAGCACCTCACAGACTAGATCCAGCCTGTGGGCCTTGAGTTTTACACCCCTGTAATAACAAAACAGAATGGGGCGGGGGGGGGGACGTTGGTTTTCCTATCACCTTATGTATAACTTCAAAATCTATTCTGAATCAAATACATACATTGGCCTTTCAGAATTTGTGAAGTGCTGGCTTTGTATATATGTATTTATGCAAATATGAAAATTTTGCTTGAATATTTAAATAATGAAAAGCAGGTAACAATCCTATGAAGTTTGCTTATATGTTTAGTTGAAGGAGTAGTATACCAGTAAACTCCAGACTTGCAAACTATATCATATAAAGATGTACATGATCTACCAATCATCCAATCACATTGTTAGTGAAATTAGCAAATTTTATGCAATGATGCATTGATCATTTCCTTTTTTGATCATTTGATCAGTGATCATTTCTTCTTTTTGATTATTTGCCTTTCATTTTGAACAATGGTATTTTGTGCTTTTTCTTCCCATAACAGATCCTTAAACCACTCACCTTTGCCCTATTTCATTTGGACTCTAGGTTCTTAAAGAAAAGGATGAATTGAAGAGCCAGCTCCTTTCAACTATGCACCAGATGGAAAATCTTCAAAAGGAACTGACAGATGTTCTTGAGAAAAGGGCCAGACAAGAAGAGGAGCTGCACTCTAAAGAAATGAAACTCAGTGAAGCTAGATCCTTGCAGATGGCTTTTGAACAAGATACCAGAGATGTTAGAAAAACTATGGATAACCTTGAGAACAAACTGCAAAAGGAGAGCCTAATACAGACTCAAATAAGAACTGAAAAACAGCATTTAGAGGAAGAACTTGCAAATATCAACGTGATCCATGAAAAGGATCAAGCAAGATTGTCAGAGATGCAAGAGGTTATAAAAAACTTGAGTGCTGTTCGGGCTGACTTGGCCAATCAAGTAGCAGAAGAGAAGAAATCCAAAAAAGAAATGGCGAAATTAGTGATGGAACTTCAGAAGCAAATAGAGTCTGTTCAGGAGGAGATGACTACAATCAATAAGCAATTGAAACTGGAAAGAGATGTCCACAAACAGGAGCTAGGAGAACTTCAGTCAGAATTGAAGCAGATGAAAACTAAACATGATCAAAGTGTCCAAGAGATGATGAAGCTATTCAACCAAGAAAAAGAGGAGGCAGTTAATCACATTGGAAAGTTGAAGGTATCTCTGAGATGGTCAACATCTAGTCATTATTATTGCATAGTATGGTATAGATGGGATTTAATGAAGTCGGGTTCTGATGAATTGCTGGCTGAACAGTGTGATACTTGGGGTAATATTTTATGTGGCTGTTGATCTTTACCAAAATTATTTTGTTTTTACATATTGTCTAACTTATTTTTTTGTTTTAAGGAAAGAGCTGTATAGGCAAGACTGGATGAATGGTTATCATAATCTGAAAATTTTATACAAGGCAGGTGCAGTATTGAGAACAGAGAAGAGTTTTGTGGGATCAGGCCATAGGCCCATCTAATCCAATATTCTGTATCACATAGTAAAACAATTGACTACATTAGGAAACATATAGATTTGAACCTCCTTCCATAATCACTTTTGAGTCATCAGCATTTAAGGCAAGAAGATAGTAAAGAACCATCAATATTAGTAGTCATAGTATATTAATCCTCCATGAATCTTTCCATACCTTAAAAAAAATATCCAAATTGGCTACCATTATTATAGTTGTTAGTAGCAAATTCTAATTTAACTATGTACTCTGGGTGGGGGGAGACACTCTATCAGTTCTGAACATCCTTACATTTAGTTCAAACTAGACAACCAATGTCCCATTGGGTTGTCTTTTCAGAGATATGTCCTTACCTGAACAGAGAAGCAGAATGACTATGGTGGGTTAAAAAAAGCAGTAGGAATGGGAGCAACCTCCAACTTGTCAGCCTCTATATCATTTTCTTGCTATCGGCTGCCATAGTAACGGGAGGAGGAGGGGGTTTCGGTTTTGGGGAGGGGAAGTGTGCTGGAGGAGATATCTCGGAGTGAAGAGGGAGTTTTGTTCTCGCCATCTTCTGTGCATGCTGAATGGAGTTGTTTAGGCCTGGTCAAGTCAACTGTCTCTGCATACCAGATGGATTAAGCCACCTGAAGATGCACCCCACATGACACCCTTGGAGGCTGGAGATTGGACATTCAGTTTGGGGTTGTTGCGGGGGAGGGTAAACTTTTGATACAATTTCGCACCTTTAGCCTCAGATCTTGCTTTATTTTCGTTGCTTTCACTTCATATTCAGTAAAAGTATATTTTCTCTGAAACAATGGAGTTGGGGGTTTCCTTTCTTAAATTTTGAAGAAGGCACATCTGACATAAATTCATGCTGACTTCCTCATTGAATTTCCTTGTGGGAAGCTGGCAGGAAGCATAAGAAATTTTTCTTCCTTTCTCTTCTTTCTCTTTCTTCCTGTCATTCTGTCATTATCTCCATCCCACAAACGCCTGCTGGCTTCCCCATTTACTTTGCTTCTGGAAAGCTTCCAGGGAGAAAGTCACTGGAGAATCCAAAATAAAACACTGCTGGATGGGGGAAGGAAAAAAGATGTGCAGAGGTGTAGGTCGGGAATGATATGGGTGTTGTTCAAGAGGTTCCATGTGGCTTGAGAACAATTGTATAGATGGTATAAATCAGAAAGGGTAAGTGAGGGTTTATATCATCAGTCTATTATGGAGCTATGGTGGCACAGTGGTTAAAATGCAGGTTTGCAGGCTGACTCTGCCCACCTCCACGAGTCAATCCTGACTGGCTCAAGATTGACTCATCCATCCTTTCAAGCTTGGTAAAATGGGGACCCAGATTGTCAGGGCAATAGGCTCACTCTGTAAAGCACTTAGAGAGGGCTATAAAGCACTTATGAAGCGGTATATAAGTAAGTGCTATAACTATTAAGTGTCCCTTTTCCTTCCTTTATTCCAAGTAATAAAATTTCTGAATAGAGGAGATGCTTTAGCTATGCCATTAATACTCTAAATGTAATCTCTCTATGGGCTTTACTGTATAAAAGATGTAGATAATTATATTGATAATTCTGTTTGAATTCTCCTTCTAATGATTCAAAGCATAGAATTTGCCTTTTTAACATTGGATTGTCATTGTGCTGTCTGTTGTGATTCCAAACTGTCTTTCCTGACCCATCATTGCCTGATTTGGTCCCATTCATTTATGGGAAATGTTGGTGGAAAGCATCTGGTCAGATTAGTACTAACAGTATAAACCACGGGTGTCAAACTCGCAGTGTCACGTTGCTGTCACGTGATGTTTTGTGACATTTTTCCCCTTTGCAGAGCTGGGGTGGGCATGTCCTGCGCATGATGCAGCCAGCCTGTGGGCTGCCAGTTTTACACCTCTGGTATAAACTGCTCATTATTATATAACATTTCAGTTATTCCTATAAATATTTTATGTTTAATAAATCAGAATAAATTGAGTTAAAATACCATTTTTCACTATGTAATTATTGTATTGACAATAAATAAACCAGATGGGGATTTAGTTTGAAAAAAAAAGTTAAAATTTGATTTCAAACTTGCTTTTATTTTTATGCTATATTTTCTCTTTACCACAGTTGTAGTTTCACTCTTACTTACTTGTCTGGATAAACCTGTTTCCTCCCTTAATAAAACTGGGAATCTATTGGGTGTGAAGAAACATCAATGAGTACAAGAGAATTTTTTTAAACAGTATTTTCCTGTAAATATCTGTACCATTCATATGAAATATCAAACACTTCATTTCTTGTCTGGTTTCCTTCCAATAGTCAGAACTTACAGAAGAAAGAAATTTTGTAAAAGCTCATCGTCGGCAAGTAGAAAAAATGAAAATCGAATGCGATAAGCTGTCATTGGAGCTAACCCACAAGGAAGAAGAAAATGCAAAAATTAAGCGAAAATGCAACATAATAAAACAGGAATTAGACGAAAAGGTAAAAGTAAAATATGAAGCTTTGTAATAAAAGAGTATCTGTTCAAAGGAAAAACCAAGTTTACGATGTAAGAAATATTTATTTTTTAAAGATGTAAATGTCTATCTTTCCAGTCTTTTTAGTTTACTCTTCCATTTTCTCCAAATGCAAAAAGAAAACGTTGCACAAAGAAAGTCTTCTTGAATTTGATATGTATTTATCTAATTGTATATACTGCTGCATAATAAAGATGGTGACCACAGACTATTACATGAAACACTCTGATATCGTAATTCTGAGTATTGGTCCACAGTTGAGGTCCTATAGTTGAGTCATGAGAAAATTGCTTATGAAATTCTGCTCAAAAAGTTCCAGGTTTGCCTCATACTAAATTCCAAACTTGTGCTCTGCCAAATCAAGTATACACTAATAAGATTTTTTTTCCTAAAAATAAAATATTATTAGGAGTGATTTGAGTTTATAAATAGATATTCCCTTAATCGCTAGCAGCATTTTAATGTTCAAAAATTGTCTGACATGATATTGTTTATTATTATATTTATATCCCAATCTTATTTTGTATAATTAAGGTAGCAAACCTTAATAAATTTAAGGTAGCTAATTCTTATTTTCCCCACAACATTCCTGTGGGATAAATTAGGCTGATGCAGAGGGAATCACCTGGGCCTTATCTTGGACCTTAACCACTACACCAGATTGACTAAAAAACTACAGCCACCCAACATAGGACTTGAATCCACAACCTTGTGATTGAGGGCCATGCTCTAACTAATGAGCTAGCAAGGGTTTTTTGAGATCAGATTAGTTATTCCTAATTGATATTGTTAAATTACATTTTGTTATCATTACACATAGCATACTGTCATGGGAGATCAAAGGATAAAATTGTAAACTACCTTGAGTTGCAAGAGGTATAAACATGTAATTTATGAATTCAAAAAATTCAAAACTGAGGCCTACAAAGAAAGAGAGAAATGCCATCAAGTGTGGATTAGTAATTTAGTTCAGAAAATAAATGACCTGCTTTAGATCAGTGCATTTGAATTGTCATAGGTACAAAGAATTTAACATTTGCCAATGTTTCAATGTGCGATTTTTTCCCCTTCCTGTGATGGTGACTCCAGCCCCAGTTTAAAATAAAAAAGAGTTATTTTAAGGAATAGCTTTGCATTAAGGTAAGAGGTGTTGCTAGCTCTTTTGAAAAAAAAGGTAGTAAACTAAGAAAGTGTTTCCTTCCATTGTGCACTGTTAATGTATTTGAATGATAATTGTACGTGTGAATTTAGGTGGACCTGAGTAGGTAAGGTAGAGAAAGGCTATATACCAATTTTTTCTAGAATGTGAGAGTATGTATATATGTATGTTGACAAACGTGTCAGAACATTTTCTTCAGACTGAAGAAGGTTCTTGGAGAAATAGTAAAATGTTTCAAGCTGACAAGAAAAGTTCAGTTGTCACATGTCCATAGTTAGATACAAAAATGGCCTAATTACTTTATGAAAAATACTAATGTACTCCAATGCCCTTACCCTCGCTCGCTCTACTAAACAAATAATGAAAAAAAAAGTTTATCTGGTTTGCCTTTGTCTAGCTCTGCTGCATAGCAACATTTTCCTTTCCAGGATTTTGTTTCCCATTAGAGCAGGGATGTCAAACTCGATTTCATTTAGGGCCACGTCAGGGTCGTGTTTGACCTCAGGGGGGCTGGGATGTGTGTGGCCAGGGTGGGCATGGCCAGCTTGATGTCACTCCTGTTGCGGGAGGCCGTGGCAGCCAAAAATAGAGCTTGGAAGCCTGTTTTCGCTGGCAGAAGCATTGCAGGCCGGTCCTTCCCTGCTTCCAGGGAAATCCCGTGGGCCAGATCTAAGTACTCCGCGGGCCATATCTGGCCCCCGGGCCTTGAGTTTGACACCACTGCATTATATAGCAGTAGACTTATATACCGCTTCATAGGGCTTTCAGCCCTCTCTAAGCGGTTTACAGAGAGTCAGCATATTGCCCCCAACAATCTGGGTCCTCATTTTACCCACCTCGGAAGGATGGAAGGCTGAG